AACGCAAGCAGCCGTCCTCAGGTGAAGAAACAGAGCTGTCGGAAAGACAGCGTCTTAATGAACACTGCTAAACTTGGCAGCGTCTTTTAAGCTGGGTGGGAGGAGGAGAGATCCTTGACAAAGGAGTTTACATATCAACAGAGGAATTTAGCATATTGATGACAAATACAGATATGGGGTTAGTCACTCCTTGCAGAATGTGTAGGCGGTGGGGGGTCTCAAAGTCATATTATGCTCGTGTATTATGTAGGATTAGCAGCAATAAAGGAAGGGAAATTTTAATGATAAAGAACTGCAGCAGCCAAACCACCGCGTATCAAGCTAGTGCATTGTGGGAAACAAAAAAGGAGTTTCTAAAGAACTACAAATACCCAACTACCATACAATAAATAAACCGATGTGAAAAACCTAAATATAAACTACATCAATATAATCAATGTACTCAATATACTCTCCAATGACGTTGGCTTTTTTCAAACCTACCCCTCTCCCACACACTTTTAATGCACTATCCTATGTTAGTTTAATTACTGTTTGTCAGTTAATTCATTACTTAAAATTGTGACGTTCAATCTTCCGGGCCCGTGGGTCCCAACGTTGTGATCAGTGGATCGCTGTCGACCACCGGCGGACCGTGCGAAGTGGTCCTCGGAACCGCCGCAGTGGTCACGGGTTTAGAGTCGCCCGACCTTTGAACCTTATTGGTGCATTGTGGTCCGCGAGCATTCTTTTCAGCGTTGACAGATCGTCGCGAGTCCAGAGCGGTTCGGACCCAAAAACGTATAACGACGCAAATGCCCGTTCCACAAATACGAAGGATACGTCACGGCGATGATGCGCTCCGCTTAACTCCTGACGCGGCTATCTGGTCTTGACCCCCACCTGAATGTGAAAGTGTCGTTGTTGCTCTTGGCATTTGACCACTCTCGACGTTGCTTTGCTGACAACGATGACCATGGTACACTGGGTCATAGACGCATGCAGCACAGGTGTTTGGGTGAAGTCACCGTAACCTTTCTCCACGAAACCAAGTTACAAACAACGTCATAAATTAAGCCAAGCTGTTAAACCGCTCGATCTACAGTGCGTTGGGAGCATTTTTTTTTTTGTCAATGGCAATTTTGCATAATGATGATGAGAGTGACAACACGCACATTGGTTCAAATGCCGGCAATCCTCGGTTTACGCGCTTGTGTTGTTGTACGCTATTTTGGAATAACGCGCGTTTTGTATTTAGACCTTTTATTGACATACGCGAGGCTAAATAAAATACTCCACCCTAGCCTGGCACCGCGACCCCAATGCATTTGCCTGCAGCCAGTGCGGTACAGTGACGAGTGTGCTATATTTTACAGCATGTCGCCGCGTGTACACCAAGACTCTTCCCTTTGTCTCGCCTCTCTCGTATTATATTGCGCGTGTACATGTAACGTATTGATAGAGGCGCGGATAATATAGGCGATTGTGTCTGCGAGTGTGAGTGAAATCCCCTAACACCCTCCTCTACCGTTCTTTCTTATGGGGAAGTGTCCTTAGACGTACGCGATCTTGAGATACGCGCTCTTTTCCAGGAACGCATTTTATCGCGTATGTCGAGGGGGTGCCTGTACATGGCCTTCATAGGTGCTCGCTAACAGCACTTGCCCCAACAGTCTGTTCAGGCTTTACGGGAGGATCTTTGTCTTTGTACATGTGCATTGGCATCAAATTAAATAAAAAAAAAGGCAGTACATTTTTTTGTCATTATGATGATGGTAATAACAACAACAACAATGTGGTCATGATCACTACGGCGATGACAGTTGTGATACTGAGTGTTAATACGTTGCGTGTTACGACAGGCAGCATTGCGCAATATCAGCGCATTCGAAATCATCGGAGAATCTGCGCCGCATCGGAGCGTCTTCCGCACACTTGCGAAAGGCCACACAGGAGCAATTCAATTTGTCTGCTGTTGAATGTTAATTTAAGTGACATCTTTTTTAAAATATGGATGTGACATTCGACACCATCTGGCGCAGCTGTAAGCGGTGAGATTGCTATTTATTGGACGTTACAACGAGAATAAAACTGTTAATATCATTACGGTGTACTGCATAATAAAGTACCGTTATGTCGATTGTTAAATGTTTGAAGACGAAAGATTAAAAAAAAACACTCACGTAGAGTTTTGGGACATAGAAAAGCTACCAATGAAGTCGATGCGAAAAGTATATTTTTAAAATTCGGTATTATAAAAAAAGTACGTAATTATATCTTGAACACAACTATTTATTGAACACAACCACGAGACCCACACATTTGAAATTGCATTTGAGGGCATTGAAATCTGTACAGATAAACTAGACTAAAAAACAATGTATTGTATATATACAAAGAAAAATATCCCCCCGTGTAGCCTTAACAGACTGTAGGGGCAAGTGCTGTTAGCAAGCACCTATGAAGGCCGGCACGGCACACGAGGGGGTGGGTGGCCAGCACCACGCCCGGCCGCCTTTGTCTCCCCAGTGGCGATGTTTACACACCGCACCAGGTACTTATTTGAGGCTGAGTAGACCTAGGTGATCCCAGGACGGGTTCAGGTAATCGTCACCGGTGTTGGCCGTGAGCGGGAATCTAACTCAGGTAGCCGGGTTCGTAGAGCAGCACGCTGACTGCTACGACACTACCGCACACACACACACGCAAGCACTCACGCATGAACATGTTTCCCGACACATTGCACGTTATATGTTTCCCTCTCTGTGCGGATAGAGTGTCATTGACAAGAGCTATTGTTGTTTTTAGTTTGCGCACCACTGCTCACTCGGTGTGGCCATTGATGGTTCAATTCTTAAATTAGCTGGGTCGTTTAAAAAAAAATCGAAATACAACCTGACAAGCAAACTAAATCAAGCAGCAGTGTTTAAGACTACAACTTTTAGCCAAGTGGGGAAAAAAATATTGAGCTTCTCAGAGACAGTTTCAAGTAAGTAAGTGCGTGCGGCATACGCGCCATTCTCATAGCACGAAGGCTATCGCGAAGGAGCTGTGTTTCTGTCTGTGTGCCTTGTCGTTGGGGAGTAGGGAATGTCCTACCATGACTCTCTCTCTTCGTACACTTCTGTGTTTCCTGAATGAGGCCCGTTGACTAAAACGTCAAGATCTTTCTTCCCTCTCAGTCAAAGTATTTATAATAATTATTATGATAATTATTGTATTTGTGTTCAACTTCCGTACGTAGCCAACCCGTAGTAATCGCAGTTGTGATTGTGTAAGTTCATCGAAGCTGCAATTCGGCATTGAATAGTATTAATGTCCCATCACGCATGAGATCCCTCCCTGAGTTTGATCTCACACGAAGCTCATGGTCCAGCCTAAACTGAATCCGCACAAGCCTTGACAGATGCTGATACCTGATTCGCAAATGGAAAATTAAGAACTCTGAAGCAGTGTGCGACTGTGGTCATCCAGAACAGAGCGGACAACGTACAACGACGCAATTCCCGATCCACAAATACGAAGGAGACATCACGGCGATGAAGCACTCCGCCTAATCTGGGCTTGACCCCGACCTGAATGTGAAATTGTCGTTGTTGCTGTGCAATCTGCATGAGCCTTAAAGGAAGAAGAAGAAGACGACGGAAGAAGGAGAAGAATCATCTTCTCTGTCCCGGCTGCCTCAGTGGTGCCGGTGATAAACCCGAGCGTCGCTACACTCCGGCAGAAAGCTCGCTCGGCGCCCTGTGTAGCTCGCCGCCGCCGCATTACTCGGTGAACGGGTTCCTTGCGTTGCGTACGAAAAATCGACGAATTTTGAAACGGAACGGCGATTGCAAAAATCGATTTTTAATCGAGCTGGAGGGAATAAGCGGTGGGGCGGGGGGGGGGGAATAAAACAAATCATGGCAACAGAGATGATGCGTTGACATTACTGAAACATAACAGGAGACGTTCCCTACTAAGGAAAGTCTACATTTGAGCGTCTTAGTCGGGAGGGTTTGTCGATCATCGTCAACGCGGGGGGGGGGGGGGGGTTCTGTTTGCGCGACTCAAATGGCAACAGATGGGGGTGGGGTGGTCGTCGGTGAACAGACAACCCCCCGTTTTTTAAATATATGTGGCTAAGAGACCCCACCCTCCAACAATATTTTGTGTTTGATATTTCCAAAACACCCCATCGCCGTAGATGTGTTGAAGTCTCTTTCTGCTCCCCACCCACACTGCTCCCCCGATGTTTTAGATATGTCTAAGAGACAGCCACAACGCATCTCCGAGTCCACGCCGGTCGCGCCGATCGAGGATTCCTTTGGCACGGACAAAGAGAGAGAGAGAGAGGCGGAAAGGCGCAGATTTCACGCCGTTTCTGTTCTGCAGCGGCTGAGCCGTCGCACGACTGGCCCTGGACACCCTCGCCAAAGAGACGCTACGTGCTGGAGGTGAAATAGTTCAATCGATGAAATGATTGTGAAACAGTAGAACTCTGCTTAATCCGAGGATCCTATTATCCGCGACTCCTATTATCTGCGCCACTGTAAACCTAATCAGTAACAACCAGGAAGTATATCGCCAGGAGGACGCACCCCTAACTTCCAAAGTGTGTCTGCTTGCCCTGCAAACGTTTCCTATCCCTCACCCACCCCAGTGCCGATCTGACGATACACCGCTGACGCACGCACGCACACAAGCTCACTTGACACGGTCATTCGAACGCAAGGATCGACGCACGCACGGAAGGTGGCTGGACAGGGCCAGACCACGGCGAGAAGTGCGGTTGCGCTTTGAACACCGCGAACGCTCGACTTGCGGATGCTGCCCGTGAACGAAGGCTGAACGCGCCGTAAAACGAACCGGCTTGCGGTCAAAGCGACGGCGCTCAGAGGCGTGGCGCTTTCCACGACTCGTAGCCGCGCGCCGTTCGGCATGAACAGCCCCGAGAGAGAGAGAGAGCGAGAGGGGAGAGAGGGCAGAGAGAAAGAGAGGAGAGAGGGCAGACAGAGGGAAGCGAGAGGAGAGAGAGAGAGAGGGGAGCTGCAAACCGCGCGAGCCGCAGAAAACCTCCCCCGGCCGTCCCGCGCGGTTGTGACCGGTCGAGTCGCTACCCCGGGCGCCAAACATCGTTTGTTTTTCTCTCTCGGAGGGGAAGGGGTGGGCGGGGGCCTCCGTGGCCGCTACCCGACGGCGATGGCTTCTTCGGAGGTGGCCACAAACTCGCGCGCGTTGGTGGCGGTGCGGGTAAGAGGACGCGCGCGGTCAGGTGTCGCCCGAACCGTGCGTCAAACTTTTGGAGAGGAAGGTCATCTCGCCCGAGGTGAATTCGACGCACGTGTTGTTATTCTGCTTATTATTGTTGTTAGCATCGACACAAAAAAATAATGCAGTACCGTCCACTTATTTATTTATTGTCAGCTATGTTTGCCGCTCGTGTTAATTGAATCACCACGCTGTCGCACACTTCAAATGTAGTTTTGGGGGCTGGGGGGGGGGGCAGGAGATGCGATGTTATTTTGGGCTGACGACGTGACAGTGCGTCGAGGCTATGGGGGAGAGGAGGGGGGACGGTGAGGGCGACCGTAATTAACTAATCTGCTCGACGAACCTAACGACGGTCCCCTACCAGCACCTCCACTACCCCCTTCTACCCCCCCACCCTTCACCCGCCCCCCCCCCGCCGCCGATGACAAACACCCGCGCCGCCCCCAGTTTTGGTGCGAGAAACAATTAAGCGCGGCCGCAGAAGCCATTAGCGAGCGAAAATTGCTTTGACTTGGCCGGCGCGTCGAGGGGAACACGCGGTGGAGGTGGCGGTGGCTCGCCGCGGCGACCCGAACGGCTTCGCCGTCGAGCGAAGCCACGCGACAGCCGCCGCTCGGAAAAGGGGGGGGGGGGGGGGTGGACGCGAGCGAATTTTGCGACGTCCTCCTAACGAGCGGCGGGCTGTGGCGCTCCTCTCGAGCGAAGGTTTACGTGGGGGGGTGGGGGGGTGGTAAAAAGTAAAACAAAATTGACGGACGCGTTCGTATTTTTACGCGCGTTGCCCCCATCGCTCGTTAAAAAAAAATGCCACGCCGAGGTCTGAATTCGTGAGAGTTAGGCATTCTTATTAATTTATTTATCTATCTACATCCTCCGTCAAGTTAACCTGAGTGGCTTTAAAAGCCGATAGGGGTGGTCTTAACCCACCGCTCCTACAGTTTCACTTTGGCTGAGCACACAGTCACAACCGGTATAAACTAGGATGTCATCTGCCGGAGGGTGGCCCCCTCGAAGATGAGATAAGAGAGTCAGATTTCGTCTGTTGTTCGATCACGTGAAAAGCGAGCAAGAGATGGATTACATAATTGAAAGGAACTTCATTGGTCGTTGGAGATAATGGAAATGGATTTTTTTTTAGTCAAAACTTTTCCCGAAGTTTTCGTTTGAAATCAAGAATGAAGTTATTCTCGCGTGGCCCTTTCTCTGTCGCTACGAAGTTGAACGATGGCGGCGCACATCTTGAAACGATGGAAATAACCTTCAAGTAAAAAAGCCAATGTAGCAGCAGGACCCACCTGAAAACGAGTCCTTGGACTCAGTGTGACTTTCCTGGATGAATAAGTAAATGATAATTTAGATCATTATTTTACAATTACGCGGCTGAAACTATATTACCATTGTGTGCCCCTTATCTTCCCACAACTTTGTCAACTCGTTAATTTATTTCACCACTTCGCTAGCAATTACCGTCAGCGTCCGGATAACTTTGAAGAAAACAATGACAGCTGATTTACAAAACGGTCTCGATATCAACGCACATACACGTCTAAACATGAGAAACTGGAATCACGTGAAACTGGCGCATGCAAAAACCTTCGCAAAAAAAACTTGAACGAACAAAAAACTTTCAACTCAACAGATCTACGGGAATACGACACTCCACAACAACATCGAATGGACGCGAACTTTTGTCAATGTGGAATGGGCAAATGATGAATTGAATTTACATTTTCGGCAAGTGCTAAACATTTAAATAAATATAACGAGAACCATGCACCCATACTGGGGGGGGGGGGGGGGGGGGGGGTGGGGGGCAGTGGGGGCAGGGGTGTGTGTGTGTGTGTGGGGGGGGGGAAGGGGAGGAGGGAGGACGAGTGGGGGAACTCACCATCCACCAGGTCCGGGCGGTGATGTCGTAGCAGAGCTGCCATTTCACCGACCCGTCCGCAGGTTTTCCAGTCATGGCAGCAGCAGCAGCAGCAGCAGCCTCCCCTGTCGCAGCCTTCATGGGACGAGCGAGTGAACGGTTGTCGGTGAGCGGGCAGGAGAAGAGGGATGCGAGGAAAGAGGGGGGGGGCGGCGAGAGAGAGAGAGAGGGAGAGAGAGAGAGCGTGTGTAAGAGAGAGAGAGAGTGAGAGGAGAAAGAGAGAGGGGGAGAGAGACAGGGAAGCGAAGTGTACACTCGTTGGGGAGTGCACGGAAGACGAGGGGATGAGCGAACGAGTTCCTAATCAGCGTACGCGCGAAAACCCCATCTGTGCCGCGTGTCTGCGGATACTCCGCGCTGTTGCCAGAGCGTGGACCACTTGGCACGGGGCCCCGCGCGCGCGTACCACGCAACACACACACACAAGCGCGCGTACCACGCAACACACTTACAAGCGCGCCGCGCGCGCGAACGCACGAACAACGCACGCACCAACCGAATCGCGGGGGATTGTGGGTGGAGTGTGGACAACTCAATCGAAGAGACAGGGCGTGCAAAAAAGAATAAAAATAATATAGACCCCGCGAGCAGTCGAGCGGCCAAAAGTACCGACGGACGCACCGAGAGAGGTTTTTTGGTTTTGCCGTCTCGTCGCGGGGAATTCAAAAAGCTCCGGCATACGGTGGCGGGAGGGCGGAGGGATGCGAAAAAGTGCAATTTGTTCCACCGCCGCTGAAGAGCAGAAAAAAAAATGCGTGATTTTTTTTTATACACATAAAGGAGACATCTAAATTGGGAACAGTTAAATCGACAGGAACGTTTGTCATGTGAACTTTGAACTTTCCTCACCGCCCACACCCCCCAGCCCCCACCCCTATCCGCACCCTCCCACCCCCCCCCCTTCCTTTCCGTACTTCACCAAACGTTCAGGTTGCGTGAGTTGGGCAGGGTCGACCCGACCGGGTGAAATTAGACGGATGACAGACAGAACCAGGGAGGGGGTGGGAGTGTGTGGGGGGGGGGTGAATCTCAACGAGTGGAAGATGAAGTGAGAGGAGCGGTGGGACAGACGGAGGAGCACTACGGAGGGTCCGTGAGCACGCAGTGAGCGGAACGGAGACGAGAGCGAACTTGCCGGCGCGATAGGGCCACGGACGAAGCAGACGCGCGCACCTGGAACTGCTTAGAAAGTAGGAGGGTCGGCGACAGAGGAGGGCAGAGGAAATGATGAAGGCATTCACTATTAAAATACAAGGAACCTCTAAATTTGGGTGCAATTTCTGAAATGACTGCAGTCTGTATTTCAGTGGCTGTAACCTGGATAGTGTTAACCTTTAGGGAAAAACACGCGCGCAGAACACGCGGACACGCGCGCGCACCCGCGCACGTGCGGGTCTAGATTAAAGAAATAAATATCTAAAATATATATTTCACGTGGTTTTTTTTCGTCTTTCAAAATGTATTTAGATTGCGCTATCAGCGTTGCGTCGTGAGACAAAGAGCATTCATTTGGATCACTTGCAGAGGGGTGCATCAGCCCGCACGTTAAAGAATGGCCAGCGGAAGCAAATATCACAGAACTAATTCTGAGATTGCTTCAAGGGATTGTGTAACTGAGCACACTTTAATGCACGCCATGCTACAAGGGTCAAACGGAATTTTTTTTTAAATTTTTAAATAGTCGGAATTTATCCAGATTAGGTGAAGAAAAACCGAAATTGCCTGTGATTTTTTTTTGTGACCATGGCTGAGAGCTTCGACTCACGAGACTTGAGCACCTGGCAGCTGAATGCTGGATTCAAAAAACGAGGATTTTCCACGGCTCCTGCCTCGGTGCTCGAACCCCTTGAACCACGTGTCCGCTCTGCGGGTCTGTACCAACAACAAGAGAGAAAAATGAATCCGCGTTAATGAACTGTAATTTACGTTTGACGTTAAGCAACGCTTAGCGGAGCAGCAAACAAAATCAGTCGCCAATTCGTTACGAGACTTGAGGACGAAAAATGTGGTTCGAGTAATTCCCTCCCTGACTTTTGTCCAGAGAAATTAGAGTTTTAATTCCATAGATCATGGCCTCTCAAATATTCCTCAAGTCTCCATCTGCAGCGCAAGAATTCTTGCAGCCAACGCACTCACAAAGACAAAGATCACTCGTATAGCCTTAACAGACGGTTGGGGCAAGTGCTGTCAGCGAGCACCTATGAAGGCCGGAACGGCACACGAGGGAGTGGGTGGCCAGCACCACGCCCGACCGCCTTTGTCACCAAACCAGATACTCATTTGAAGCTGAGTCGACCTAGGGGAGGCCCAAGACCGGATCAGATAATCGTCACCGGTGTTGGCCGTGAGCGGGACTCGAACACGGTTCGCCGGGTTCATAGCGCAGCGCGCTAACCGCTGCGCCACCGCTCCCCACAGGCACACACACACACGTACGCAACAACCGCCATTCGCCAATAAGTGGCGGTGACGTCACCACGACGCTTGTGCCAGGCTATGTGCACCTTGAGGCCACGTGAAGTGTCGAACGCCCGCTGGCAGGAGGTCACGGGGTAGACCCAGGTGCCACGGGTCGACTGACTGAGATGACTGAGATGACTGGCTGATGCACCACCTGTGCCCCCCACTGTGCCAACCTGCTGTGCTTTAGCCACCCGGCGCTCCACTCGTTGTTGTGAGCGTCGCTCCTCCGCCCTCCGTTGTTGTTGGAGGGCGACTACCTCCTACTGCCCAGTAGCGTCCTTCACGAGCCTCCTCCACAGAGGCCGATCTTGACACCGCTGGTACCAGTCATCGGCAAGTCCACTCAGCTCCACGTCCTCCTGTACCACATCACTCCATCTCTTCTCTGGTTAAACCCAGGATGCATCGTAGGCAGGCTAGCCTAAATGTTTACAACCAGCGAAGATGTTTCATTAGGGGGGTCCACGTTTCGCAAGCAAAGAGAAGGGAGAGAATGACCGTGGCCGAGAAGACCTAAAGCTTAGTGCGGAGCGACAGACCAGGTAGCTTCCACACAGCGTTACGCAACCGATGAAAAGATATTGCCACTCGACTGAATCGGAATGAGACCTCTGCTGTTAAACTGGAGCCGGTCATAAGCACACTGCCCAGGTATGGGAAACTCTCCACTCTCTCCACAACTGCCCCATCACCGATTGGGAGATGTGGGGGTGGAGTGTCCGATGGTTCAAAATACCCAGGCAGGTCCTTGGTTTTGGTGGGGCTGATGGTAAGGTCCCATCTCTTAGTGGCACGCTCCAGTCTCAGCAGCAGCGTCTCCAACTCCTCCTCTGAAGGAGCAGCTATTACCAAATCATCGGCATACACGTGCACACACACGTACACACACACACATACACACACACACACGTACACACACATGTACACACACACGTACACACAAAAAAAGACAAAGATCCCCCATATAGCCTGTAACAGACTGTAGGGGCAAGTGCTGTTAGCGAGCACACAAACCATGCTCACACCACTCGTGCACGAAACCCTAAATGCCCAACACTACGTAGACGAGGTGTCTCATCAAGGCTCGAACCATATTGGGGGACACACGTCTTGTGAGTGACACACGTCTTGTGAGTGACACACGTCTTGTGGTGACACACGTCTTGTGAGTGACACACGTCTTGTGAGTGACAGTGACACACGTCTTGTGAGTGACAGTGACACACGTCTTGTGAGTGACACACGTCTTGTGAGTGACAGTGACACACGTCTTGTGAGTGACACACGTCTTGTGAGTGACACACGTCTTGTGAGTGACAGTGACACACGTCTTGTGAGTGACACACGTCTTGTGAGTGGCACACGTCTTGTGGTGACACACGTCTTGTGAGTGACACACGTCTTGTGAATGACACACGTCTTGTGGGTGACAGTGACACACGTCTTGTGAGTGACACACGTCTTGTGAGTGACACACGTCTTGTGAGTGACAGTGACACACGTCTTGTGAGTGACAGTGACACACGTATTGTGAGTGACACACGTCTTGTGAGTGACAGTGACACACGTCTTGTGAGTGACACACGTCTTGTGAGTGACAGTGACACACGTCTTGTGAGTGACACACGTCTTGTGAGTGACAGTGACACACGTCTTGTGAGTGACACACGTCTTGTGAGTGACACACGTCTTGTGAGTGACAGTGACACACGTCTTGTGAGTGACAGTGACACACGTCTTGTGAGTGACACACGTCTTGTGAGTGACACACGTCTTGTGAGTGACAGTGACACACGTCTTGTGAGTGACACACGTCTTGTGAGTGACACACGTCTTGTGAGTGACAGTGACACACGTCTTGTGAGTGACACACGTCTTGTGAGTGACACACGTCTTGTGAGTGACAGTGACACACGACTTGTGAGTGACACACGTCTTGTGAGTGACACACGTCTTGTGAGTGACAGTGACACGTCTTGTGAGTGACACACGTCTTGTGAGTGACAGTGACACACGTCTTGTGAGTGACACACGTCTTGTGAGTGACAGTGACACACGTCTTGTGAGTGACACACGTCTTGTGAGTGACACACGTCTTGTGAGTGACAGTGACACACGTCTTGTGAGTGACAGTGACACACGTCTTGTGAGTGACACACGTCTTGTGAGTGACAGTGACACACGTCTTGTGAGTGACACACGTCTTGTGAGTGACAGTGACACACGTCTTGTGAGTGACACACGTCTTGTGAGTAACAGTGACACACGTCTTGTGAGTGACACACGTCTTGTGAGTGACACACGTCTTGTGAGTGACACGGGTCTTGTGAGTGACAGTGACACACGTCTTGTGAGTGACAGTGACACACGTCTTGTGAGTGACAGTGACACACGTCTTGTGAGTGACACACGTCTTGTGGGTGACACACGTCTTGTGAGTGACAGTGAGACACGTCTTGTGAGTGACACACGTCTTGTGAGTGACACACGTCTTGTGAGTGACAGTGACACACGGAACTGTGAGTGACACACGTCTTGGTGAAGTGACACACGTCTTGTGAGTGACAGTGACACACGTCTTGTGAGTGACACACGTCTTGTGAGTGACAGTGACACACGTCTTGTGAGTGACACACGTCTTGTGAGTGACAGTGACACACGTCTTGTGAGTGACAGTGACACACGTCTTGTAGGTGACACACGTCTTGTGAGTGACAGTGACACACGTCTTGTGAGTGACAGTGACACACGTCTTGTGAGTGACACACGTCTTGTGAGTGACAGTGACACACGTCTTGTGAGTGACACACGTCTTGTGAGTGACACACGTCTTGTGAGTGACAGTGACACGTCTTGTGAGTGACACACGTCTTGTGAGTGACACACGTCTTGTGAGTGACAGTGACACACGTCTTGTGAGTGACACACGTCTTGTGAGTGACAGTGACACACGTCTTGTGAGTGACACACGTCTTGTGAGTGACACGCGTCTTGTGAGTGACACACGACTTGTGAGTGACAGTGACACACGTCTTGTGAGTGACACACGTCTGTGAGTGACACACACGTCTTGTGAGTGACACACGTCTTGTGGGTGACACACGTCTTGTGAGTGACACACGTCTTGTGAGTGACAGTGACACACGTCTTGTGAGTGACACACGTCTTGTGAGTGACACACGTCTTGTGAGTGACAGTGACACACGTCTTGTGAGTGACACACGTCTTGTGAGTGACACACGTCTTGTGGGTGACAGTGACACACGTCTTGTGAGTGACACACGTCTTGTGAGTGACAGTGACACACGTCTTGTGAGTGACACACGTCTTGTGAGTGACACACGTCTTGTGAGTGACAGTGACACGTCTTGTGAGTGACAGTGACACACGTCTTGTGAGTGACACACGTCTTGTGAGTGACACACGTCTTTGCTTCATCATTCGACTGAATTGTCACCACCCCCCTCACCCCCCGAAGTGCTTCCTCGTTCAGAGGCCCCGACAGACCAACGTCGCTGTGGGCCACCTTCGTCGTGACGCACGAGGAGCACGAACCGATTGACTCACAGCTCTGCCCGTGAAGGATCAGCGCATTAGTTTGTGGGACGTCCCTGTCTCTTTCAGCGCTGCTGAACGCCCGCGGATGCAAATTATTGCCGGATGGAATTGAACCGGCGATCCAGCACTCACCGATTCACCCGAGTAAATTGTTCGACGGCAGTGAGTCGCACCCCTAATCACTGCTCTACCAGCCTCACTCTCTCGTCTCTTTCGTACCGTGCTCGGCCACAACACTGCAGGTCACAACAGCTCACTCATGAGCCTACTCACACACCCACTCACCCAATCACTCACCCACTCGCTCACCGCACTGCAGGTCACAACACACGCATTCGCCTACTCACCCACCCACTTACTCTCTTACTCACCCACTCGCTCACCACACTACAGGTCACAACAACTCACTCACGAGCCTACTCACACACCCACTCATCCATCCACTCATCCAATCGCGCACCCACTCGATCACCGCACTGCAGGTCACAACAGCTCACTCACCAGCCTACTCACCCACCCACTCACCCAATCGCTCACCCACTCGCTCACCACACTGCAGGTCACAATAGCTCACTCACCAGCATACTCACCCACTCACTCACCCAACCACTCACCCACTCGCTCACTACACTGCAGGGCACAACAGCTCACTCACCAGCCTACTCACCCACCCACTCACCCAATCACTCACCCACTCGATCACCGCACTGCCGGTCACAATAGCTCACTTACCAGCATACTCACCCACCCACTCACCTAATCACTCACCCACTCACTCACCACACTGCAGATAACAATGCACTCATTCGCCGACTCACCCACTCACTCACCCAACCACTCACCCACTCGCTCACCACACTACAGGTCACGACAACTCACTCACGAGCCTACTCACCCACCCACTCACCCACTCGCTCACCACACTGCAGGTCAACAGTGCCGTTTGTAGCTGGCCAATAGGTGTGGGTTTTATATTGGGCCTTGTGCTCATCAGCCGTGGTAATCAAAAACAAATCTATATATATAGACACACACACACCCACACACACGTGTATGATCTCAGACGCGGCGAGTTTTGCCACCCGCGGACGTTTGAAAAGGCGCGCGCGCGCTCGCACGGAGCCACTTGGTGGAACGGCATCGCGACGGGGCTCGCCTTGGGAAACACAAAATGCTAATGCGGTATCTTTCAAGCGAGGCGCTCCTAATGCGACGCAACAACGCCGACCGACGCACGCAGAAGCGCCGCTCTCAGGCCAGCCACTTCCCGAAAACATCCACGGATTAAAAAAAACGTGAGCACGGCGAGAGGGCTTGATGGCCCTTCGGGTGTGGTGTGGGGGGGGGAGGGTGGCGGGGTTGGTGTGCACGGGTGGCGACGGGGTGGGTTGCGATGGAAGTTGGTCATCGCGATTATTAGCGGTCGTTGGCGGGCTCTGGGGTGAGTGGCCAGCAAGTGCGATTGAAGGCAGGTCAGCGTGGGATGGGTCAGCCGGGACTGTGAGTGGGGGCTACGAGGGTCAGTAGGGGAATGCTGCCGTGGACCTCCGCAATCCAAAGGTCGCCGATTTGGGTTGATCACCGGGTACGGCAGTTGAAGCAACGGTCAGGTTTATTAGATCTGCCCCTCTCCGCACCCTCCCCCTCTACCGCTGTAGATAGGCAATCGGCAGTTCGCGTGCGGTGTGGTAAAGTGTGGGTACTTCAGGCTTGAAGAGTCGTTTTTTCCACCCGCCGATTGTGTCTCTAAAAAAGGTTTGTGTCTTATGAGATAATTGCCCCCTCCCCTCTCCCCCCTGTCATATGAATGTGGAATTTCCACCGCTGGCTCACAGCTGTAACAAAAAAAAATCATAGGAGCACTGCCCCCATGTAGAAAACACTGTGACATTTATGATGTTATGAAACTGTAGCTCTCTCTGTTCTCTTAATGTTTTGATGCTGCAAAAAAACAGCCTCAAAGTCTTTCAAATAAGCAGAGAGAGAGAGAGAAAAAAATATCAAGAAACTCCATAAGTCAGTGCGAGTCTCCTGTTTCTCTGTTGTTCTTTACCCAAATTTTATTCCGATTGCGCTATCGGACGTCACATAACGGGACAAAGAATCCATTCAGAACCCTCGCGGGCAGCAGTGCAACGCTTTGTCCGAGAGGACAGCCCCCACGGAACGTGGATGTCATAGAGCTACATCTGAAGATCCCTTCACGTGACCTCTGGTCCACACGGGAGAGGGCAGCACTTTCCCACCCGTGACTCGGAGCGGTGAGCGTCGCATTGTGTGGTAGTCGTGTCTTCGTTTTGTTTTGTTTGTGTATTGCTGATTCTGCTGCTGCTGCTACTGCGGTGGTGGTGGTCGTGCACAAGGACAATTACGGTAACAACAACAATGGATAACATCAACACACTCGTCAATGACACCGTAGCCTTAACAGGACAAATATGTTATTAGGTGACGTTTCAGGTGATGATCCTCTTGCTGATGTGTTATGTAGAAGGACCATTGCCCAAAACGTGGCATATTGTATCTACTTTTATTGACGAATGTTTTTTATTTGATCATAAGTCGTTTTCTCAACTCATCATCATCAGCAGCTACGATCAATCGACTGCTGGATGAAGGCCTCTCCAAAACTGCCATCGTCTCTGATAATCTGGCGATGCAACAGTCCGTCGAGATTTCACCGTTACATTTCCACGGTTGACTTTACACCACAGACGGTGGTTCCCCCCACCTTTGGCTGCCACTCTTCTATTAGTCTCGACCGCTGGCCATCATCCCTTCTAGCGAAGCCTCCCGCCCGAGTCCTACTAAGTCTTTTTTTCCCCCCAGCAACTTTGAACGATGTCTTTAAAACTGCGAATGCTCTCTAATTACATGCCATTCCTCTTTCGGCCTCTCAGCGTAATTCCAATCGTGCGTCTCTCCACGCTTCTTTATGCCTCTTTTCAGACACATTTTCTTTGCCATTGCCCATCAATTCCGATCCGTACGTCTTGCATGAAAAAAAAACTACAAGCTTGCATTTACCGCATAAAGTAAAAAAAAGAGATAATTCTAGAACGTTCCGTGCAACAAAAAAAGGCAACGGAATAATTCGACTTCAAACCCGACCGCGACGTTACTGCATTAGCGGTGTGTTTTTACACCACAAGTTACACGGGCTTTAGGAACAGGCGCACAGTCTGCTGTTTGAGAAACCAAATACGATGAACGAGCTTGGCATTTATAGAGAGAGAGAGAGAGGAGAGAAAAAAAAAGCCCCGACCGAGCTGTAATGTAAAACATCGCACAATAAACCGAACGAGAGACGCGGAGAAAGAGAGAGAGAGACTGGTACATAGATGACGGGGGGGGGGGGGTGGAGGAGGAGGGAGCGGCGAATAAAAACGCCGCGCGAACCGCGGTTCCTATCAACATTGGGCTCGTTTTGCAGCAATGGCCTCGCATTTTTCCCCGCTGTTCTGTAATTTTAAGGAAATGGGATTCTATTGTCAAGCCCCCCCCCCCCCCTAATGTGTTCCTGATGTCAGAATCGCCGATAAAGTGGCGAGCGGCTGGCGGGCGGCTGGCGCGCTGAAAGGTGGGTGGGCGACTGAGCCAGCCGCCGCGGACGCAAAGGTTTGGGTCTGCGGTGGAGGGCGGCTCGTTCCGTCTGTTTCACCGCGAGTCTCGATGTGGGTGGTGGGTGGGTGTGTTGGTGGGTGGGTTGGTGGGTGGGTGGCTGTGGTGGTTGGTGGTAGGGGCGGTCGTGATGGGTGTCTCAGCTAGTTGCGGCGCAAGGCATAGGGAAAGTCAAGTAAAAGTGCAGGTCTCTGAGAATCTCAAGCGGTGCCCGTGTTCATGAAACAGAGGGTTGCGCCACATGCTGTGTCCATACCATATCAACTCAACATCAAATCTATTGAAATATGTAAAAGATAATAACAATCCAACGTATCTCTGTCATCTTTCACCTTTCTCCATATCTCTACTCTCATCTTCACCGCTATTTACGGCTACATTCCTCTTAGCTCACGACATCTCCATCTCTTTTCTACACCTCTTTCACTCAGTGGAATTTTATTAATGCATGTAAATGGAGGGAGGGTGGGGGGACTCTCTCAATGATCATTTCTACTTCGGGCCCACCAATGTTCTTCCATCACCACTGCGGCCCGTTACATTTAATTATCAGAAACACGGGGCTCTGAATTTCATCTGGGTCGGTGACCTGAACGTTATTTTGTGGCCCGGCACGCCTACATCAACATCAAGGATCGCCGATTCTGACATTGACGTTTTGACGATTTGCTCCGAATTCTTTCACGACATCGATGACACGAACATCGGAGTGCGAGCGGTGAAACCCGCTACGCCGTGAACCCGGCGCCCTGAGTTTGATTCCTGGCCACGCCTAACAAAGGCGGTGAGTGACACCTAGAGCGGTCCTGAGTCGGCGTGGTGAAGTATGGTCAAAACCACCCCCCCCCCCCCCCGACCGACACGGCATGAGTCGATCTTCATCCAGCAGTGGATTGATATCGGGACTGTACATTCTTCTGCTAATTACAACGATTCGTGTTACGGATGTTTGACTTAACAAGCTATTATTTTCAACCGCAATTTTAGTCAATCGTAACACACGACCACGGAACTTACTTCCATCACTGAGAAAAATACAATAATACAATCGCGATGAACTCCCGTTAGGCGCGCGCACGCACATACACGCACACACGCATGTACACACGCATGTACACACGCACACACGCACGCACACACGCACACACGCATGTACACACGCATGTACACACGCACGCACACACGGAGTCGTGAAAATAAACCCCAGCGCAGTTCCCACAGTGGCCGGCGTCAATTCCGAGTGACGAGCACAGTCAATTACCATGACAATGGCTCAGCCGAGACAGACTTGTAATTTGAGATTAAATAATGCAAGATTCGGGGCTACAGGAAGGCAGTGTTCTTTGAGCATCACCTGCAGCCCCCCCCCGCGCCTCCACAACCTCCACGTCTCCCCCTCATCTACCCCCCACCACCACCTCCTGCTCCCCTCCCCCCCACCATCACCCACCCCCACCCTCCCCGCCTCCACCACATCCCTTGACCCTAGCTCGGTGTTGCGAGGCAGAACAAAGAGGCTCTCAGTCTGTGGGCAGAAGGGA